GGGGGGAGGAGGACATGTATATTACTTTTTCTGAGATTCAAGGGTGAGTGATTTCTGAGATTTGTTTATTTCATGTGCCTATGTACATGTGGGTGCACAGGAGTCAAATATAATAGATTCTCCTAAAGTTAGACTCTCAGGTGACTGTGAGTGACTGAAAGGTGCTGGGAATTAAAATTGGGTTCTCATCTTGTGGTGATGGCACACACCTCTAATCCCAGAATGCCCGAGGCAGAGGCAGAGGCAGAGGCAGGCAGTTCTTTGCGAGTTTGAGGTAAGCCTGGTCTATGGAATGAGTCCCAGGACAGCCAGGAAAGCAGAGAAACCCTGTCTTGAAAAAACAAAAGCAGGGGGGGAAAAAAAAAAGACAACAAAACCAACCAACCAACAAAAAACCCTGGGTTCTCTGCATGGGCTTAACTGCTGAGCTATATCTCTAGCCCCACGTATGACTTGGTATGTAGAGAAGGCTAGCTCAAACTCTCTGTCTCTGCCTGTTTAGTGGTGGCATTAAAAGTTTGTCTGACTATGTCTGACTAAAAGGGAATACTTTATTTTTTTTAAATTTAATTAAATTTATTACAATTTATTTGCTTTGTATCCCTGCTGCAGCCCCTTCCCTCATCTCTTCCCAGTCCTACCCACCCTCCCTCTTCTCCCCCTATGCCCTTTCCCTAGTCCCCTGATAGGGGAGGACCTCCTCCCCTTCTATCTGACCCTAGCCTATCAGAAATACTTTAAAGAAGGGAGCTGGTAATTTCTTTTTTTTAAGAAATAAATATATCCTCTTCAATAAAAGCTTATAGCATACATGTCATATGTAAGAAAGATAATGACTTTTAAAGAAAAGAATTTAAATGTGAAATGGTATAAACATAATTTCAGAAGTAAAACTGTTTATTATTAGCATTTTCTACGTTGGGAAGTAATAGATGCTTTAGAAACTTAGCAGCTAATATGGTTAACTATCTAAAGTAGAATATTTCTGAACTCTGTAAAGAAAGGACTTGATATGCTTTCCATATGCTACAACAGCTACTTGTCTGTATAAATAGGTACTGATACCTATCTCTGTGGCATGCTATCGACAGTATAAAACACAAGCACTGAACTTATTATTACTGGAGATAATTACAATATTTTATTTACATAACACTTTTCAATTTATATAGCATTTTCATAGATCACTTCATTTACCAATAAATAATATACTGGTAATATCACTTCTGACTCTTATTTATTGATTACTTTAGCCTAATAGACGTACAAAGGACCTTTTAGAGCAGTAGATCTCAAAGTGTGGCCCGAAGCCATCTTAAACACTACTTGGTAGTGTAGTCGCTCAAATCAAGAGTAAGGCATTTGTGTTGTCAGCCACTGTGGTGACACTTGCTCTGACGGTGAAACTGCTAAGACGGGAAAAACTTCTGATGCTTTACTTAGGCAGACTTACTGGGGACTGGCATTAAGCTGTATTAGCACAGTCACTGTAGTTTTCACTGCCAGCATATAAGGTTAAAAATAATTGGGGGGGGGGATGCCAGGTGTTGTGGTTTATACTTTTAATCCCAGGACTCAGACAGGTGGATTTCTGGGGAGTTCAAGGGCAGCCTGGTCTACATAGTGAGTGTAGGCCAGCCAGGGCTATACAGAGAGCTCCCTGTTTCAAACAAAAACAAACAAACAAACAATTAGGAGAAGGGCTGGTGGATGGCTCAGTACTGAGCTCAATCAGTACTGCCAGTATTTGTACAGGGCCATCTGCTGGAGCAGGACTAACAGCCTTTCCTGAATATGACGGGAAGACTGCACTGCTGAAGACAGCACATAAGCGAGACACAGGATATAGAGAAGTCAGGCTGGTACTGATCTAATTCACGTCTATTTGTCTTCAAACTGAAAGGTGTCAAAGGTCTAAACCAAGAGTGGCATCATATCCATTTGACATGTGCAGATTTCTCTTTGACCTTGTTGATTCTTTTTCTCAAATAGAAAATAAAGAAGTCAATCAAGGATCAAAAAGCCACTGTGAATGCTGAGTTTCCTGATTAACTAACTTTTTGTTAGTGTGCTAACAAAAAAGAGATGAAGTTTCTCAAAAGGGGCAAGGCAGAACGAGAGAGAAACAGAGAAAAGAAAGACAGAGAGAGAGAGAAGGGTGTCAGAATCCATTTGCCAAAGCATCACACTTTTATTTATAGATGATGCCTGCTGAGGTACTTCATGCCACACAAACACTCACATGCACGTGCACACACGCACACCACAGCACACACACAGACACGGAAAAGCAGAAGTAACTCCTCCCATGTCTCTGGGTCACTCTGCTCTTCCAAGGGTTTCCAAAAACTTTGTATGAAACCTTGGGCCTGGATTTTTGCAGTGGTGTCATACTGTGAGCAGTAGCCTGAACCACCAAAACAGTTTGTCAAAGAAGCTGCAGCTAAAGCCCAAATTAATGTGGATTAGAAACATGTAAGTCATGTAACACAAACGCAGATGGAAAAGGAGCTGGATAAGTCACTGATCTTTGAGGTTGTTTTTCTTTACTTCTATTTTTATCACTGTTATTATTTACTTTTGCTTAGATCCTTGTCTCTTTAATACTATTTCATCATAATTTAAAAGACTCCATAAAATGATATCCCAGGCCTTCAGAGCCAGTATTGAACTGGAAACTCCTAGATATTAGAGTTTCTGTGGATATCTAAATGTCCTTGAAGATGCTTAAATCTCATTCAGGATGGCAAATAGGATAGACACCAGAAGCAGAAGAAGAGAGGGAACAGGACCGGAGCCTAACATAGAGGGTCCTCTGAAAGGCTCCACCCAACTGAGGATCGAAGCAGATGCTGAGACTCACAGCCAAACTTTGAGCAGAGCACAGAGAGTCTTATGGAAAGGGGGTTGGGGGGTGATGAAGGACACAGAGGGGACAGGAACCTCACAAAAAGCCAAAAAAATCTGACCCCAGGGGGTCCTGCAGACTGATGCACCAACCACAGACCATGCATGGAGAGGACCCTAGACCCCCTGCTCAGATGTACCCGACTGGCAGTTCAGTCTCCATGTGGGTCCCGAGTAAGGGAGCAGGGGCTGCCTCTGTCATGAACTCGGTTGTCTGCTCTTTGATCACTTGCCCCTGGCAATGTGGCCTTACCAGGCAGTCCTGATGAGACTTGATAAGCTAGGGGCAGGTGGCAGAGGAGGAGAACTTCCCCTTTCAGTGGACTAGAGGAAGGGTAGAGGGGGAAGAGGGCAGAGGGGGAGACTGGAAGGAGTTGAGGGAGGGGGATATAATCAGGATATACAATGCAAAAACTGAAAAAAAATTAAAAAAGGTCACATATTGGAGCTAGATGTTCCCAGTACTTAAAAAAAAAAAAAAAAACCCTCAAAATTCAAGACCTTTAATATTTTCTGTGTTCTGTATAAAAACACAAAAATGTCTACTGTACAGCATAGACAACAGCTGTCCAAAGGAAAAGGGCTTTGTAACTGAACTGCAAGTTGAATCAGTACTTTTACAAAAAGTGAGTACCATGGGGCATGGTAGCCAAAGCTTTCAATCCCAGCACTTGGGAGGCAGAGGCAGGTAGATTGCTGTGAGTTCAGGGACAGCCTGGTCTACAAAGTGAGTCCAGGACCAAGGTTACACAGAGAAACCCTGACTTGAAAAACAAGCAAACACACAAAGGGATGGAGAGATGGCTCAGAGGTTAAGAACACTGGCTGTTCTTCCAAAGGTCCTGAGTTCAATTCCCAACAACCATGCAGTGGCTTATAACCATCTATACTGAGATCTGGTGCCTTCTTACAGCCTGTTGACACACACGCATGTAGAATACTGTACAAATAATAAATCTTTAAAAATGAGTGAATACCATTTTTTACTTGAAAAATAATTACCATTTTTCAGCTATTTTCTTGAATGAAAACAACTTAAATGTCCATCAACTCATGAGTGGAGAAGGAAAATCATCCATAAAAAAAGAATCCTGTCATTTCTAAATTAAAACTCTTGTGAGTACTTTATCAATGTAGAGAGATTAAAAAAAAATTAAGAAGCACTAGCAATTTCTTAGTACTCATTATTCAGGTAACAGGCTTTGGGAATAAAAAACATCCTCAAGATTATATACAAGGTAAGTATTCCAATTTAGTTCCAAAACTGGTCTGTGGACTCCAAAACCTGCAGCATTTGCTTCTATCACACTAGGTGCTGCCTTTCCACTAATCCAGCAGGAGTTCAGTCTGCTAATGGTAACAGTCGATTACTCGTACACAAACAGTTTCTAGTTCATTATTAGTATCATGTGTGCGTGCATAGGCTGTGGCTGTGACAGGCTGGTATAGGTGTGTGCATGGAAGCTGGAATATAACTTTGTGGAGTCACTTCTCTCCTCCACCTTTATATGGGCTCTGGAGACCAACCTCAGTTGGTGAGAGGCTTGTACAGTAAGTTTTCACCAACTAAACAATCTCTCCAGCCCTACTTATCAACTTTTATTTTTGGTATTGTAAACCAAGAGGAAAATAGATGTTTCATATGGTCTGCCTTCCCAGAATTTCAGTGCTGATTAAAACATACTTTTTCCATGGAAATGCTTATACCATGCTTCAAATACCATTACATCACATGGCTGTCAAAAAATTTTTTTAAAACAAATACAAGCCACCATTTTTTGAACCCACTTAACAGATAAACTTACGTTGGTTAGAGGTTGATGCAGACTGGCTTCTAAAGTCTGACTTCAGAATGTTGTTATCTAAAATAAAAAACAATTTCAAAACACCATCAATTTTATGTCTTATTTGCCCACTTATTTCCATTAAAGGAAGAAAAGTACAAAGAGGCATGGCAGAGGTAGCAGATGAGGCAGAACACTCGAATGCCTCCTACACTGCGGGTCCCTTCCCAGTTACCTGCACAGTGATCTGGTATAGAGTGAACATTTAAACACACAGTGTTGAGAAGACATTTGAACATTTAAACACACAGTGTTGAGAAGACATTTGAACATTTAAAAACACAGTTTAAATTGTGTGTTTAAACACACAGTTTAAATTGCAGCTTATTTAACAGGAATGGTAAACTCTGGAACAAAGGTAAGAGGACAAAGAAGATACGGACATGGTAACAAAAGCATGAAATCATCTGGAAAATGGCTATTTACTAAACTGCTTCCTGGTGAAGATACTGTAAAGAAGAGGAAAATGGGTTACTAAATTACATACAAAACTCAGTCTTAAATCTTCATTATTTTCTATCTTAGAGTGACTAAAATAGTTCCTCTGGGGAGTCTGACCATTTACATTTTTAATTAATATTTTTAAAATATTATAAAACAAACAAAACAAACTTGTTTCAGGAAACAGGCCCAGCAATCTCACTGGTATGGTCTCCATTTGCTATTCTAGACATGTACCAGTTGCCTGCAGTAACTTTTTGTATGGACAACTGAGTAGATGGATAAGTGATCTTCCTTGTGTTTATTAACAGCTTCTACTGGAGAAACACTGAACTAGACCGTAGGAATAAGGTCAGCACAGCTAAGAAACTGCCTTGACTCATATGACCTTTCAGAAAACATAAACAAAACTGAAACATTCAACAACCAAGTAGGAAAAAATGACATCATGTTAACTCTAAGAACCATATTGTTTTCAGTTAACAATTCTGCTCAAGCAACTTTATTATTACACCATGAAATTACAATTGTGTTATTAAAAGCCAAGCAATAAAAAAGCCCCAAATACACCAGATGATCCTCTTAAACACCTTATTACAGGGCTGCAAAGATCAAATGGGATACATAACAGTGCTGTGATGCTCTACTTTCCGATGACGTGACAGATAACTGTTAAATATGTGTCATATACACTATGCATGCAATCCATAGCCCACAAACATACTTTTAGGCCTGCTATGTATAAACTGCTGAGGTAGGACACAGCCTAAACGTTAAATTCTCTCTCTTACTAAAATCACTAGAGGCAGTAAGAGAAACTTGAAATCCTAGAGAGATTTTTTAGTCCAAACATTACAGCAGCAATCACTCTACGAAAGTCAAGAGTAGAGGGATATGAACCTGCCACAGTTACTGATTTGTATATGACACAAATAAGCATTAACAATTTATGTGGTAAAACTTAAAATAAAATTGTGTTTAAAGTAGAAGACTCATCACAGTACTGAGCTAAAGGTACAAGTATCTGTAAAGGTAAGAAAGCTGAAGTGCAAGAAGTTTTGGATTAGAAAGTAGAGGAGCTAAGAATTAAAACCCAAGAGCTCTAACGCTAAACTGTGTCTGTACTACTTTTGAGAGGCTCCAAAACACATTCTAAAGATCTGATTTCTCTAGATATATTTTAAATGGAAAAAAGTACACAGAGTGAGTGACTGTATCTTAGTCATAAGATTAGGACTGCAGATCAAAACCTGAACTGGGACCATTTCACACTCAGGGAACTGGTGCTAACATGAGATGAAATCAAAGAGTTCAAATCCCGTATCAGGAGGCTTATAACTACTTTTAACTCCAGCTCCACAGGATCTGTCACCCTCATCTGACTTCTGGAGGTGCTGCACTCGTGTACAAACATAGCACACAAAATTCATAAAAAATTCTAGAGCTGAAGTCACAGTTCAGCGGGTAAGAGCGCTTGGTACTTTTGCAGAGAACCTGGGTTTGGTTCTGCCTGCATTTCCAGTTCCAACCAAAGCCCTCTTCTGGATTAGGCACACACACACATACACACAAAATAATTAAAACAAAATTTAATCTAAAATAAGTTTAATAACCTCTTCTTGTACCAATGTGTACAAATTTCTTTTCCTGTTATTTTAATTCCTAAAATACAATATTAAGAATTAAGAAATAACCCCAAAAGCTATGAATTTCTCATGATATACAGACCAAAATTAATGCATTTTTTACTTTCAAGAGTTATTAGGATTTAACTTTCAGTTGGGTGTTATGGTGCACACCTTTAATCACAGGAGGCAGAGGCAGGTGGATCTCTCTGATTTGAGGCCAGCTTGGTTCTAGGATGGCCAGGGAGACACAGAGAGATGCTGTCTCTCAAATTTAGTAGGAAAACAAAACAAAACAGATTTTCATTTTTTATTCTGACCACACATGATTCTAATAAGCTGAATAATTAGTATTTGGTTTCCTAAGTATAAGAGGCAATGAATAACAACCATAAGAGGAAATGGTCTTCTAATATTAAGTATATACAACGTCAAAAAAATAGTCAAAAACAAGGCAAGAAAAAAAGAGCATTTCCATTTTTCAGCAGCTAACTGATTCATTCATTTAAGTGTAGAATAAAGCTTACTGCTAAGGAAAAGCAAATTGTAATCATTACCTCGATCGGTTAGTGTCAGTCATTCTATGAACAAAAGATAAATAGTAGGGATTTTTTTGTTGTTGGTTTTCCAAGACAGGGTTTCTCTGTGTAGCTCTGGCTGTCCTGGACTCTGGCTGTCCTTGTAGAACAGGCTGCCTGCCTCTGCCTCCCTAAGTGACGGGATTACAGGCATGCCATCACTGCGCCCAGCCAAGAGTAAGGACTTTCATATGATCTAAATAAATGGGGACAAGAGCTGCTGTGGTTGGAAAAAGGAAAAAGGGGCACCACTCTGGTGTGGTGGCACATGCCTATGATCCTAACACTTGAGCAGCTGAGACTGGGTGATGGAGTTCCAGGCAGTGTGGGCCATACAGTGAAACGCTGTCTCCATACTACCGAAAAGAAACAGTGGACTGTGGGAAGGACAAGGAGAGAAGCAACATTCAAGGCAGAAAATAGAATGGATGTTTTTCCACAGCCAAAACAGACATAACCATTACATTTTGGTTTGGCTGGTTTTGGCCATGAGGTCTTGTTCTTAAGTTTAGACTGGCATGACCTCTCTTCTTCCTGTCCCAGCCTTCCACATACAGGATATGCTACACCTGACTTGATTTTTTTCTTTTTCTCTGTTCGTATGTATAATTTAACCCCGTGTTTCGTGCATGCTAGCCAAGTGCTCTACCACTTAGCTACATCTTCAGTGACATTTACTCTACCATAAACATGATCATAAAAATACTATTTGTGACTTTCAGCCTTTATGACATGAAATAATGGGCAAAGAAGACTGCAGTACAGTGTTTATGTGGAGTCCACTAAAGCACACATACACACACACACCTTAAGTTATTAGAAGAGTACAACTCCATTATCATACACAAACTGTTCCTGCTTGAGCTTGGTAGCTTGTGAGGTCTGGGAGCACCATGCATTGGTACTTTCTACACTGCTGAAGACGGCCATCTAGAAGCCAGAGCTGACCTCTATTACTTATCTGAAGAACTCAGTATTTGGTGTATTAGTCGACAAAAGCGCAGCAGAAAAGTGAGGTATCTACTTACATGCCATCCCAGCCCTCATTCTTAAGGCTTGTTCAACCCTCTCCTGATGGTTTTTTTGACATCCTGAGCCTGAAACAAAAACATACATATAAACATCATTTCCTATGTTTACCTCATAGTTCAACATACACAATAAATCTAACTGAAAGGGGGCAAGCAGGGAGGAAAACATCAAAAGCACAAGTCTCTGAAGTAAACAGTTTCATGGGATCAGATCAGTGATTATAAGCCATACCAAAGCAGGAAATAATCACTCACTAGATAAACTACGGTATGAATCTTTACTCTGGTCTCTAGGATTGAGTTCAAAACCATCCCACTGCAGTCTAATTATATACGTTTAAGGAAAAAAGTTGAGCAATTCCCCTACGAGTAAATCACTGAGGCTGAAACAGCCTCCACAGAGCACCACATCACAGAGTAACTATTACACAGAGCACCACTGTGGGATGGACTGGGAAAGCTGAGAAGGGGAAATGATTTAAAATCATATTAGAACTTATTTATTTATTTAGTTTCTTGAGACAGCATATCTCTGTGCAGCCTTGACTGTGCTAGAATTTGTTCTGTAGACCAGGCTGCCTAGGACTAAAAGCATGTGTCGCCACACTTGGCCAGGTTAGAATGTTTTATTGGTTGAACAAAGCACCTTCACTAAAATAGAGAACAGATTATCAACTACTTACTCAGCACTGAAGGCTGATTCTCATGCGCCGTGAAGTCCTGACCTAGAACCGAAAAAAGGAGTAAAGTCAGAGAACAATGGAAAACAAAGAGTTTTGCAAGAAGGGAGTGGTGGCACACACCTTTAGTCCTGGCATTCTGCAAGGCAGAGACAGGCAGAGTTCAAGGCTAGCCTGGTCTATGATATAGGGCTATTACACAAACTTTGTCTCAAAAAACCCAAACAAACCAAACAATAAAAAAAAAAAAAAAGAAAGAGGCATATGCATGCGTGCGTGCATGCACACCTCAGTGCTGGCGCCTGTGAAAGCAGAGGGTGTTGGAGCTTCTGAAGACTAACAGATGGCTGGGAACTGACCTCTGGTCCTCTGCAAGCACATTTATCTACTGAATAATCTTTCCCATCTTATTTTTTCATTTTCTACACTTAAAAACGCTAGGAACTGGACAATGACAAGACATCAGCTCTAGGGTCAATACTCTGAAAATAAAGACAATGCTGAAGATGGAGCTCAGTGGCAGCACTCCCTTAGCATGTGAGGCCTTCATTCCCTGCACAGAAAGGAAAAAGAAAAGCCAACTAACTAGCTAACCAGGCTGTAGTGGTTTAAATAAGATGTTTCCTTTAAGTCTCAGGGCAACATTTAATACTTGGTCCCCAGATGGTAGCCCTTGTTGTGGGGACTGGAGAGATGACTCAGTGGTTAAGAGCACTGATTACTCTTCCAGAGGACCCAGGTTCAATTCTCAGCACCCACATGGCAGTTTACTCTGTCTGTAACTCCAAGATCTGACACCCTCATACAGCTAAAACAGCAATGCATATAAAATAAAAATGTTAAAAAAAAAAAAACTTGTGACATTTTGTATGTGTTTTCATGGCCTCAGTTTGAGATGTGAGGTCTCAGCTATTCCCACTGCCATGCCTTCACTCTGTTGCCTCTGGAACTGTAAATCCAAAGAAACCCTTTCTTCTAGAACAGCAGTACTCAGCCGTGGGCTGTGACTCCCATGAAGGTCTCCTATTAGATAACCTGCATATAAGATCTTTATGTGATTCATAATAGTAGCAAAAGTACAGTTATGAAGTAGCAAAATAATTTTATGGTTGGGGGCCAGCACAACATGGAAAACTGTATTAGATGGTTGCAGCATTAGGAAGGTTGAGATCTACTGCTCTCAAAGTTGTCTTGGTCTTGGGTGTTTTATTACAGAAAAGTAACAATGAAATGGATTGTTAAATGTATTCTATGTGTCAAGTGTAATTATTTAATTATTTTATCTAATGTGGTAACAACTATTATCTTTTCTTTATAAATACGGGAAAAAAACGGAAATTGATAATTTCTACAAGATTACATATCTGAACATGCTAGCAAACAAAATACAGGCAGTAATAACTATGAACCATGCCATATAGAATAATACCTATCATATATGCAGGTCTGTGGGCACCACAAAGCCATGAAGCAGAAGATGCTACTTCAGGTTTTTAAGAATAATTATAAAATGATACAATGGAAACTAGGTAAATGTCAAAATCTGCCCTGAAAAGCTAAGATATCCACTGAGAGTGAAACATATATGTATCTACATAAATTCATTCTGAACTTTACTTTTTCTGTATACAAATGAAATACATGCTTGAACTAGCTGGTTTTATGTCAACCAAACACACACAGCTGGAGTCAACTGAGAGGAAGGAACCCCAACGGAGAAATGTCCTCATAAAAACTACCTGTAGACAAGCCTGTAAGGCACTTTCTTAATTAGTGATTGGGGGAGGGCCCAGCCCATTGTGGGTGGTCCATCCCTGGGATGGTGGTCCTGGGTTCTTTAAGAAAGCAAGATGAGCAGGCCATGGGAGCAAGCCAGTAAGCAGCACTCCTCCATGGCCTCTGCATTAGCTCCTGCCTCCAGGTTCCTGCCCTGCTTGAGTTCCAGCCTTGGCTTCTTCCCTCAGTGGGCTGTGACTCTGGATATGTAAGGCAAACACAGCCTTTCCTCCCCAGGTTGCTTTTGGCTGTGGTGATTCAGCACAGCAATAGTGTCGCTCACTTGAACAATTCAAAATAACATACTTGGACCGGTACTGGTAGTGCCCAACTGTAACCCCAGCACTCGGGAGGCAGAGGCAGGTGGATCTCTGTGAGTTTGAGGCCAGCCTGGTCTAAAGAGGCAGTTCCAGGACAGCCAGGGCTACACAGAAAAACCCCTGTCTTGGAAAACAAAACAACAACAACAACAGCAAAATTGGATACAGCCAGTCCTGCTGGCACAAGTCTACAGTACTTACGAGGCAGAGACAATAAAGAAGATTGCATGTTTAAGGCTTGCTAAGGAAACTCAATGAGAACTGGTCTCAAAACAAAAAGTAAAAGTGGGTGTCTGAAAGTGTGTGAAAATAATGGACATGGGTGTACATATATATATATATATATACACACATATATACATATATATATACACACACTCATCGAATACTAAGAAGTACTTTTTAGAAAAATTTAAGGCTGTATCTAAGTGTAGCTTAAGTGAACAGATTTTCTTCAAATTGATACATTAAAAACTGGCAGCTTAGATTCATTACAATATTTTCAAGGAGGAAATGTAGAAGGGAAAAAGGATTTTGACTATTTACATGGAAGTATAAGTTGATTAATAACTCAAATACTGGAATGTGATTTAAAAATAGAAAAAGAAAAAAACCACTTATTTTGCTTATCCTTAGGAACATACATTCATTATAGACTTCGTGCAACAGAAAATAATAACATCTAAAAAACTGTTGAGCTGGGATGTAGCAAATATACCATGCTTGCCTAAAGTAATAAGAACCCTGGTTCACCCCTCAGCACTCCTAACAAACCCAAAGTAAATGTCACTAATGATCATTGTTTCCTGCATCTTAAAATATTACTTCTAATAGTTTGTATTCTAACATTTCAACAACAAAGATACAGAATTTCAAAGTTGTAAGACACACTACTCTCTCAGTGAACTAAAAGCAATCAATGACGTCATAACATAAAGACACACAACAAACAGAAGCACAGGGCAGGTCTTCTCACAAGGAGCTCTATTAACGCCCTACTTACTCTGTGGTAACCATGGTGAGTCTTCATCTGAAAAACAAAAGGTATTTGCTGCTTCACTTCTAAGTGCTCATTTCATAGGAGAACAGTGAGTAATCAAAAGAGTGAAGCAAACTACAAGAGATAACCTGGAGTACATAATTTGTTTTTTAGAAATTCTCAGCCTACAGACTGTACCATCACACACATCTTCTTTTATGTGACATGAAAGCAGAAAGGATCAAGCTACAGTGGAGGTGCACAGGCCACAGGAAGCTGGGTCCATCAACATTCCATCACAGATGGGGAGGGGCTCACGACCCCACCTCGAAGAGGGGCCTAACAGGCAGTTAACAGTTGCTGGGAAAGGGAAGTCATATTCCTCAGTGGTGTAGCCACTGGTAAGTTCCCCTTGCCCAAATAATAACCTCCCGTCCACCTCTGCTCCTGCTAACAATCCTAACTAAAGGTAATGGGGGCACATACATACAAACCAAGTAGGAAGGGATAAAGCAGAAGGTTAGCAGAAAGCAGAGGGAGATGAGAGGATAATGGGGAGGAATACAATTAAAAAACATTACCTATGCATGACAGTGTGAAAGAATAAAAAGATTAACTGTTTTAGGGATGAGGGTGGAGAGGGAAGTGGGGGCAACTAAGAACCAAGTGTACAGATGTGTATGTGTGAGAATATAAGCCTGTGCTACATAGTACCTCCTGTTTAATAAAGTTAATTAATTTAAAACTCTCCAAACAAAAAACTCATACAAAAAAAGAATGGAGGAAAAATAAGCTGAGGGGATATACAAAATACCAAATGCCTATAAGCCAGCTTTTGAGCTTTAAATTTTTATTTTAATTTTCTATGGTCCTGGGGACCAAATCAGGGCTTCCCACCCAAATGCTAAGCAAACACTCTACCACCAAAGTTTGCCCATAGCCCCAACGAGCTTATAACTCTTTGAGACAGGTCTTACTACAGAGCCCCAACTGGCCTGCTACCTAGACCAGGCTGGCCTGGAATTCAGAGAGATCTACTTGCCTCTGCCTCTCAAGTAAGCCCTGGGATTAAAAGTATGTGCCACCACACTCAGCCCTGTGAGCTTATCCTTTATAAGAAAAATGACGATGTAAATCATGAGAATTAAAGAAATTTCCATATGAAAGTATTTCTGTGGAACTAAAAAGTTACCCATTTACAGGGTTTACAAATTAGTCCAGCATTTTCTTTTAACTTATTTTATTTACATTTATGTTTTGCCTCCATATGTCTGTGCGAGGGTCCAGATCCCCTGGAACTGGAGGTACAGACCGACAGTTGTGAAATGCCATGTGGGTGCTGGGATTTGCACCTGGGTCCTTTGGAAGAGCAGCCAGTGCTCTCAACCACTGAGCAACAACATCTCCAGGCCCCTAGAATTTTCTTAAGATTCAAGTTACTAAATTTTTTCTATGCAATCAACTCTTTGATGAAGTATTCTTGAAGGCAAGGGTGCGTGCACAGTTCCACACTGCCATACTTAAACAGCACAACCCCCTGGGATATCCAATATGGTTAAGAACTTGCCCTAAACACAAGGTAACTACCTAAGAATACTAACAGTTCTTAAAACCGAGCAATTCTCCTCAGATTGCTGAGTACCAGTGTGCTCAATTTCTCAAAATTCAAAAACAGGCAGTAAGCCATGTACGGTGGCACACATCTATAATCTCAGCACTCCGGGAAGATCTGAGTTAGACCAGGCCAGCCTGGTCTACAAAGCGAGCCCAGGACAGCCAAGGCTACACAGAGAAACATTGTCTCAAAAAACAAAACAAACAAACAAAAAGCTCAAAAACAAGGCAGTAGGCTCTTGAAATAAAAATGTCTTTCCATACATACTCAAGCAGGCTAAAAGTGCTCTATCCAGCTATTTGTTACACGGCACATTACTAATCACATGGATACAACAGAAGGAGTAATTATAATTACTAACTTTAAAAATGATTTAAACATTTTTAAAGCGTTAAATATTATTTAAAACTATTCTTTTAACTAAAGATAGCTCTGCGGGAAGAGTTATACACATATACAGCAACGTGGCCGCTTGGACTCACCAGAATCCCTGGCTCTGAGCTTGACAGTGGTGTCACTGTAGGAGCTCTCGAGATCATCTTCAGTTTCTCCTACAAGGAAGCAGACGATGCACTAGTACAGTCTTACCAGTCAGGTTCAAAAGCTCTGACTAAACACAGGTTACCGTTAACGTGTAAGCCCCTGACTTCCCACTGCACAGCTGCTGTTTGTTTACTGCGCTTCGTATTTGGAATAACCACATTCTAAATGAGCTACAGTTGAGTTCACATATATTACTCTTTTCTGAACAAATTTGTCTAAAAACTATACACTGAGGCTTAGTACAAAATAGATGATCAGGAATGCTGAGAAATTTTTAGTTTACGGGAAGAAACTACACTGTAAACTGTATAATTTCAGAGATGACTACTGTTGGCCCATTGGTAGCTTTTTCATGGGTAATATACACACACTTACAAACATTTCAATAACCAAACTACTAATTTCAAATTACATTGGCCTAAAAATGAACTAAATTTATGCTTGTATTTTCCATAAACTAGTCATGAGAATGCCACAGTAATGGTTTTAATATCACAAAGACTAACATGCAGGAAGTGGAAAGTATTAGCTTTCCTTAAAACAGACATGGATGCTTCAAAGTATCTAAGTGTTTCCCCATCCATTCTACCCAAATTTAGCCTGCTTTATCTTTATCTTATAAACAAAATGGTGTTTTGTTTATTTAAGAAAAAGACTTGTTTTATGCTCTTATCTCAAATATCTCTATCAAATTGCTTCTAATATAAAGAAAAACAATATATTACATGGTAATTAAAAAGAAATTACCTTCTTCAGAGATATTGACCTGTAGGATACTGGCAGTTTCTAGAAGATAAAGACATAAAGTATGTAACACCAAAAACTAAAGCCACATAACTAAGGAAAAAAAACAAAACAAAACAAAAAAAAAACCCCCCACATAACTAAGGGAGAACCAATATAAAATACAAAAGAAAGCTCTTTCTTTCTATAAAATGAGTAAGGATCTATCACTTCCTTCAGAAATAAATCTAACATAAATTCCTATTTGAAATAAATGCTTTTATTAAAATTTCAAATCATGTGTATTTGTGTCTGTCATGAGTGTAGAAACCACATGAGTTGGTTCCCCTGGACCTGGAGTAAGAGGCAGTTGTAAGCCACGTGACACCGGTGCTGGGACTCACGTCTTCCTCAAGAGCAGTAAATGCTCTTAACCAATGAGCCATCTCTCCAGCCCCAAATAAAATGCATTCATTTAATTTTTTTTGAGACAGGGTGTTACTGTGTAACCCTGACTGGCCTAGAACCCACTAAGTGGTCCAGGCTGGCCTTGAACTCACAATGATCTACCTGCCTCTTGTCTCTGAAGTGCTAGGATTAGAGGTGTATACCACCATGCCCAGAAAGTTTTTAGTTTTTGTAAAACACGTACTTAGAAAAAAAATAAAGATTTATTTTTACTGTTGTGTATGTATGTGTACAAGTGCCTGCAGAGGACAGCTGAGGATGTATACTGCCTGACCTGGTGCTGGAGATGACTCAGGTGTCCTAAAAGAGCACTCTTCAGAGCCAGTCTCTCCACTATCAGGGCTTTCATTTTTGTTGTTTTTGCTTTTTTGAAACAGAATTTTAGATAGCCCAGGATAATCTCAAATTTGCTATGCAACCAAGGTTGCCTCTGAACCTCCCATCCTACTATATGTATCTCTTGAATGCTGACACAGTGCAGCTCTGCAGGCGTGTAGAACTACTCCAAATACAATTTGTGTGCAGAAAACAAATTGTATACTGACAGATATTCCAGGTTCCTACAGGTCCCACAGGTTTACACAATTCAATGCTCCTATTTGCCAGACTCCCTCTTCGTAAAACCCTAACAAGCTGAAGGAACAAATAGGTCCTCAGTGCACTAGTGTGACAAAGAGGAAGTGTGAGCAGAAAAAACAATTCCCTTTTTTAGTTCCAGCAGGGTGACATACATCACAGTTCCTCAGAAATGGGGAATGTAAAGACAAACAAGCACATCAAGCAATCTTTAAGACTTGTCTACAATCAAGTGAATAAATTATTAAACAAAGCCTTAAGATCAGGATCTTTACATGGGCTATTAGAAAAGGGTTTTGGTTTTTGTTTCTTTTTTGGTTTTCAAAACAAAGTTTCTCTGTGTAGCCCTGGCTGTGCTGGAATTCATTATGTAGACCAGGCTGGCCTCAAACTCACAGAGATCCACCTGCCTCTGCTTCCTAAATGCTGAGATTAAAGGCATGTGCCACGACCACCGGCAGTTTGTCTTTTTCAACAATGGAAGTTATACCCAAATATAAGCATAATTGGGCAAAACACTGAATAAAGCTATAGAGGATTAGGGTGACTCAGACTTTAACAGAACCAAGAAAATATTTCTTTTCAGCTTTTATCTTTTCTGCTTTTTAAAAGGGCATAAAAACTTTCAGCATCACACCAGTCCTTTATGCCAAACCTAAGGAAGGTAAACTGAGGGCTATGAGGAGACTCCTCGAATGCGTGGTTACAGTAAGTACTACAACAGGGAGTCTGAAAATACAAAACTTTCAGATTAGTCACTTTCTTTCTTCCCTTTTTTGTGGTGCTGGGGACTGCACCTGAGGCCTAGTATATGGCGAGACAGAGCACTCTACCAATGAGGTAACCTGCATCCTGCCTCAAGTTCCCAAACTAGACACTATACAGAAACGACTCCTGCGATACTTCCTGTAGCCAGTGAGGTTTACTTCAAAACAGCTTTGGTGGACTTGTCTGCCTTTATGTTTCTTTTTGCTGTTTACTTTGGATTTATATGGGTATATATATATGACATATGGATCTTGGATTGTAACCTAGTTACAATTTTCCAATAAACTTTGTTTTGGAGAATTGGTTTTCAGGTTATTAATTTTAGGCTGACAAGTCAAAGTATGATTTCAGAAAGTGATTCTAAACATTACATTATGAATTAGGAATTTTTTTCACATCAATTTAATCAGGTTCGTATAATATTAGTCAAAGCTTAAGTTCTACTGAAAATAGTAGCGATTATATATCTAAAATATTACTGTCAACATTTTTGCTGGAAAACAGAAAACCAACCACTCTTAGAAACTTGTCAATAACATCAAGCTTCTCTCAGCTAAAATCTGGTACAGTACATGTTGTTTTAGACTACGTGCCCCAGTACTAATCCTTCATTAAAAAAAAAAAAAAAATAGAGTGCAAAGCTGCCAGGAGTGTGCTGGACAACATGACCCCAGTGCTCGGGGGTGGCTAAGACAGTAGAATCACTAGTGAGTTTGAGCTAGCCTATGTACAAAGTAAGACTCTAGCTCAAAAAGTCATGCGGTCATGCATGCAGGCAGGCAGAGACACAGACAGACTCTCTTGATCACAAGTGGGGGATACCAACGCAGGTGTCTTTTTCTTAAAAAGAAGAAGAAGAAAAGGAGAGAAAAGAAAAGAAAAAAGAAAAAAAATCCACACTTTGAAAATTGTCTATCTACTGCTTGGTCTAAAGATCTTTTCTTCAGAATTCTATTAACGTTATTAATAGCCTTATATACGTATCAACATTTAAGACTCGATTGATCATTGGCTATTCAATGTTATCTTGATCTCGAAACTTGAAAAAAACCAGTATTTCGAGTCCAGGACAGCCAAGGCTACACAAAGAAACCCTGTCTTGAAAAAAAAAAAAATCAGTATTGGGCTGGCAGGATGGTGCTCAGTTGCCACTAAGCACTAAGACCGCTTTCTTTTCCTGTGACCTATAGTAGAAGAAAAATGACTCACACAAGTTGTCCTCTGACCTCTCTCCACACACACACAAGCACAGCAATCCTGTGTGTGACTGGTAACATCATTCTACACATTACTCAAGGCCTCCAATAAAGAGACTGCTAGCATGAGAATGCTGTCACCAATATTGAGGAGTTGTAACTCCTACATTGCATGGTGTCTAAAGGCAAAATAATGACACTTGTCCAGGCAGACTGATGAAACATTTGCAAGACTCTTCTCCACCTCTGTCTGTTAATACTTTTTAATCTAATACCATTTTCTAACTTAAAAAGCTGAACCTCATCTGGTTGGTGGTGCTGCATGCCTTTTATCCCAGCAATCCAAAGGTTGGTGGATCTCTGAGTTCGAATCCAGGACATCCAAGGCTACACAGAGAAACCGTCTCAAAAAAACCAACTACCCAACCAACCAAACAGTTGAAGCTCTCCATGTAGGGCACTTTCCCTCCATACTTTAGCACTTATAAAAAGATAAGACAAGTGAGTCCAGGACATCCAAGGCTACAAAGAGAAACCCCATCTCAAAATAGAGTTATGACATTTAAGTTTTCGTTTGAGTCTGTAGCCCAAGCTGGCCTCAAACTCACAATACTGCCCAGCCCAGAGTGTTGAAATTCTGATGACTTTTAATGTTGTTTTTCTTTTTCATTACCTAATGTATTCCTGAGATACAGAAAAGAAAAAAAACCTCATAGTTCTTTATGGTATTAGTATTTAGGTCAGTTGTTGACATAGGAAGTCAAAGAGTTTGTTAAAGTTAAAGAGTTTGTTCAAATTTAGCAATGTAAGAAAAACAGTGTGAGACTAGTACTCACTAACAAGAGTTCGTACAAGGTTTTAAACATCTGTCTTTTTTCTCTCTGTATTTATATATAGAGAAAATATAAATATAATATATAAATATATAAATAAATAGATATTTATATATATATATATATATATAATTACAGGGTCTTGCTGCCTTCCCACTTTTGATCCTCCTGTATCAAGCCTCCAAAGTGTTAAGACTATAGGTGTGTGCCTGGCTTGTTTTCATTTTTTTTAATGTAAGCCAGGCACACACCTATAGTCTTAACACTTCTCTTCACCCATGAGCTGTCTCTTCAGCCCATAGTCAATTCCCAGGAGATCTGATGCCCTTTTCTGACCTCCATGGGCACCAAGCAGATGCCCATATTAAATAAACCACACCCAGTTAAACAGAGAATTTAAGAAACTTCCTGGAAGTATTCTAGACTTAGAAAGTGGTGTTAGGAAGATCATGAATTCAAAGTCATTCTCAGCTACATAGTGAGTTTGAGGCTAGCCTGGGCTACATGAGGCTCTAATTCAACAACAACAACAAAAAAAAAAAAAAAAAAAAAAAAAGAAAAGAAAAAGAAAGAAAGAGAAAATCAAAAAGGAAATTCTTATCAGTAAGAGCACATATGATAAGGCACATTAATTATTGCAGAGTTGTTCCTTAGTATCCAGAAACTTTAAATCCCAAAGTCTTTATAAAAATCAGCCTGAGCCTAGGTAAAAATACCTTTAATAGAGGAAGTTATAACTACATACTATAAAGAAAAATTAAACATTTTTTTTGTCTTAAAATTTAAAACTAATTCCAACCACATTCAACACAAGTTTATGTAAAGCTAAGGTGGCTTTGAACTCTTGGTCTTCTTGCCTTCACCTTCCAAGCACTGGGGCTGAGGAATGAGGCAACAGGCCCAGTTAAAGCTACAGGTTTTCTTGCTTTATATATTTTTTTCTCATTCGTATATGTGTGTACATATACATATACATATACATATATATATATATATACATACACATATACATATGGTCTGTGTCTATACATGTGCATGCAAAGGCCAGAGGAAGACAATGGGTGTCTTCCTTTACTGTTCTCTGCCTTATTCCCATCAGACAGGGTCTCTTCCTGAACCTGAATTTGTCATTTCAGCTAGGCTAGCCAGCCACAGAGCATTCGGATCCACCTCTCTCCAATACACAGTAGCTGGGGTCACAGGCACTGAAGTCACACCTGCCTTTTAGGTAACTGCTGGGAATCTAAACTCCATACTTCATGTATGCAAAGCAATCATGCTTACCTCTGAACCATGTCCCTAGATCCCTAAGACCTATATCAGGGCAAACGCTAAAAATGATTTAAATTAGTAAAAACAACAAACAACAAAAAGGCAAAGGGCACAGTTTTTATGAAAAAGAAAAAAAAATACTTCCTGAATCTAGGGGAGAGAGCCTTAGTTGACACTTTTTGGTGGCACACATCTGTAATTCAAGCACTTGGGAGGTGAAGGCAGGAGGACCAACAGTTCCAGTTTATCTTTAGCTACCTACAAAGCCTAGACCAGTCGCAATACATGAAACCTTGTTTCCAAAAACAAAGACATACAAGAACAAAAAAACAAAAACAAAAACCAGAAAAACCAAAGGGGGTTCAGAGGATGTGGCTCAATGATCAAATGCTTAAGATAAGCATGTGTGAGACCATGGTTCAATCCTTAGTACCACACAAAAATGTACTCTGATTAATTCTGTATTTTCATATAAATTCAAGTAATAAGGCAATCTTAGACAAAGCGAGCCTAAGGAACTAAAGTAGGCCCTCATATCAGGGACACTGGCCCAAGAAGCCGAGATAACAAATAAAGTAAAACTCTGAAGCCAACCACGAAACACAAACACTTGTGTATTTTGCTGCTAAGCATCCTCAATCAAAACCTGTAAGAATTAGAGAAAAACAAACCTATTTCATTCATTTTAGTATTTCCATTTGTTTTGTATGTTGAATCTGTAAGAGAGGCAGCAAGAAAATGATTAGAACCGAAAAGGAAAAGCATCATATAGCTCCTTACCACATGCTCTTAGAGATCTTATCATCTTAGCATCATAAAGGAAGCGGCTGAGATGCAACAGAGACCTAATATGAAGGACCAATAAACAGAAAACAGTGCAAGTAGACTGCATCAAGTAACCTTAGTTTCCTTTCATAGTCATGGAACCAATTTAAGAACTTCCAAGGTTTTAGTCAAAAGGAAATGTAGTTGAGGCACCACAATTTATAGCTCCATGCAACAAGGCCTCTGTCTTGATTTTTTTTTTTTATTAGTAATGGGAAAACTAAAAAGGCCTGACCTTAATTTGAAAGCATCATGCATTCGTGGAAGAACTGTCACAGCTCCATGTGAGAAAGTCTTTTAAAAACAACGTGAAAACCTTTATGCACGCCAAAGTGTAAAGACCTCTTTGAGGACAAAGTGGAAACAAACAAAAGGTGGTGTAAAAGAGTACTCACTGATCCAGGATTTATGTTTAAAAAGGGAGACTTGCAGGAGACACTGCTCTGGAAGAAAGCTTGCCTAGTATGTGCCAGGCTCTGGGGTAGAGCCTCTGGAAAAAATAAGCTGACATTGGTCGTTTCTGATGTTAAGGCAAGGCAGACAGAGGACAATGGATACAGACAGACTTCACTCATCTCATGTAGCTCAGGCTAGCCTTAAACTGTATGTAGCCAAGACGACCATGCTCTCCTGATCCTCCTGTCTCAAAGTTATAGCATTACGGGTGTGCACCACCATGTCTGGCTAAGCTTTGATCCCTATGAATACAATACACGACTCCCCCGGAAGTAACACCGTGCTTCCAAGAGTTCAATCAACACCATCTCTTACCAGATCTTGGGCTTCTCAGTGGAGGTCTGCGTAAGTTACTTATAGGGTCTTCACTCATCACTGGTAGAGGAAGAGAAAAGTAGATGGAACATCTGACTTAGTATGCCACCATCCTCATTTAGTCAGCAAAGTCTGATTATGATCGAGAACTAAAGGCAAATTTTCTCTAAGGGACAGCTTCTTGTGAACTACTAACAACAGTAAACTAGAGTGACTTACCTTTTCTACAGAATGTACAGTCTTGAAGAAACCTGAAATGTTTCTCAGTAGGCCATATCGTACAAAAGAAGAGATTCTTCTCCATTATTCAAGCAGGGCATGACCATGTATGTATATGTCTATAATTCTAACACACGGGAGCTCTACCTCCAGGAGGATCAGGCGTTTGAAGTTATGTTTTCCCCTGCCATACACTGAGTTTGAATATCAGCTTGGACTACACAAGACCCTGGTCCAAAAAAACCCAAAAGTATTTAATAGCCAGATTCTGGGACTAGAGAAGTACCTTCTCGTATCATTAATTTGATTATCTACTCCATGTGTGAGGTTGGACTTTTTCTGAAACAGGCTTCACTTCCTAGCATAGGCAGGCCTCATACTGAAGGAGCCCTCCTGCCTTGGCCTCTCAGGTGCTGGGATCATAGGCATGTGCTATCAGAATTTGTGCTCTGTTTTTAGTGTTAACCTCCCAAAAGTTAATAAACTCTTCAACTATTTAATCTTGCATATGTCCAGGAAATGGAAAGACTGATTTTAAATAAAACATTAGTGCTAGCCCTGTCTCATTTCAGATAATCTGAGTTCAAAAGTATAGGGTTTTTAATAAAGCCATTTAAAACATGCTGGCTTTAGTCAAGAAAATTATGTATAAGGTATATTTTCTCAGGACAATGAGATGGATCGGGAATAAAGCTATTTGCTGCCAAACTGAGTCCAATGCCCACAATTCATGTGAAGAATCTAGTTCACAAGGTTTTCCTCTGACCTCCACAAGTGTATACTGACACCTGAACACACATCACAGACACACAAGAATTATAAAAAACAAAACAAAACAAAAAAACACTTCACTTTGGTGAACTACTAAATGTCTCCTATTTTCTTGTTACAGTGATTCTAAGATAACTTTTCTTTATTATATTTTAAACATCTCTGAAATCATATACTATATAATTTTGGCATGTAACCATAAATTACTAGGAAACTGGCAGTATCTTTTCTCTTCTAGGTGGTACAAGAAGCAATGATGTTCCACCTTACAACTGACACCTTGGATTCAGTGAAACATAGTATTCAGCTGACAGAATTGATACCCACTGTGCCAGGGTTTTACCATGCAGAAACAACTAAGCAGAGGGTACTGTGACATAACCATTGACACCATGAATTATTATTACCTAAGGAGTGAGAGTGAGGGCTTGGAGAAAATGAAAAGGTTTTAGAAAAGACAGACCTGGGCCTGAATTTCAATTTAGTCATGTATCATGTGATCTCAGAGGAGAATCTTAGTTACACTGAGCTCTAGTTTTGTCATATCTTAAGGGGAAGAATACTCCCTGTGAGGTTATGAAGACTTAAGAAAATAGCTGACAGCTAAACTCACACTCAGTGGTTCACCCTTGCCTGTCCCTGGAAATACACACATGGCTTAATTTAATGAACTGACAAGACTCACAAAACTCTGAAGTTAGAGTTATGATTCTTGATGAGCCTTTGACAAATAAAAACCAAAACCAAACTATTCTTACCTGAAGTCTCTGGTGTCCTGACAGTTTTCTTTGAGACTGTTTGGCTTGTAACAGCTTGGGAAGGTTCATCCTCTATAGTACCAACAAAAGATAAAATTCAAGTTAGAGGATCTGGGAGAGATCACGGCACAAAATATGCCTACCTAACATTAACCTATAAACAGAGATTCGAGTACTCAATCCTCTAGGCTCAAAGCTTGGTAATGAAACTAGTCAGAATTCTTATTAAGACACAGGTTAGCTGGGTGTGGTGGAACATGCCTGTAATTCCAGCACTTGGGGAGGCAGAGGCAGGTGGATCTCTGTTTGAGGCCAGCCTGATCTACAAAGCCAGTCCAGGACAGCCAAGACTACATAGGGAAACCCCATCTCAAAAAAAGAAAGAAAAAAAAAATATATATATATATATATATATGTATGTATGTATGTATAATGAGGTCTGGAGAGAGGGCTGAGTGGTTAAGAGGATTTGCTTCTCTTTCAGAGGACTTTATCCCAGCACACGTCTAAGTGGCTCACAATAGCCTGTAGCTCCAACTCCAAGGGACCCTGATGCCATCTTCTGGCTTCTGAGGGACCCTGTACACATATACTCACACAGATAATGCAGCTTCATATACACACGTGTTAAGTAAAACAAAATACAAACTATTATTGCAATAAAAATGTTACTTTAGAAAGTTACAAAAGATGGACCAAGCAAAAATTGTGTGGATTCAGCAGGTAGAAGACATGTTGAAATCCTTTAAAAATGTACTAAAAGGTAAAATGTACTTAAGTGCAGTAAGCTCTATGGGAAGTCAATAAAAAGTAACAGAGTAACAGTGCCTCCCTTGTGCAAACACTGGCTTAGATTCTGAGACAGAATTAACCCAACCACCTATGCTGCTTCCAGGCATACATAAAGGTTCCTTTTTTCAAGAAGTCTGCCATCTTAAAGAAAAAGTACTAACATATACGTGGAATAAACTGTCTTGTTACATCCAAAAGATCGAGCATTATCTCCAGCATAAAGTTTCAAATATCACCCGATCTTGAAATGTGTCAGGATTTTAAGGGCAAGCAGGTAAAACCGCAAGCCGTTTACTATGCTCTAAGCTGAAAAATTCACCCCTTTTCAGTGATGTCATTCCATTGTGACTCAAACTGTTAGAAGTTTACCTCATAATTAGGTGATTTACATGGGACTTACTAGAAACCACCTGTGGCTCAGGGAGTAGGAGGATGTCTAAGAAATCTGGTTCACCTGTGACATTGTTGGCATTTGGAGCTTCATATAGCAGCTTTCCTAATAACCTTATTTTGTTATGGTACTTTGTCAGCCTTGATTTGTTTAGCTTCCTGAGGTTTCAGTGACGGCCTTCAACTCGGGGGTCGGGGGGGGGGGGAGTATGGCAGAGACCACCACACTTTGCATATTTAGAGTAAGGTCACGAGCCAATTCCCGGTATTCCTCGTAGCATTCTCCTTAAAAGTCATGTCTTTTTCCCAATCTTGATGGGAAGAGAAATCGACTGAAAAATTAGCTTAAAAAACGTGACTTTTCATCTGGGGACTTGGGGGCCCCGAGATTAAAAAAAAAAAAAAAAAGGAAATGGAAGTGGCTTCGATAGAAACCTTAGCAGAGAGAACGGAAATGAAACCCAGCCTAGAGTGATTTGGAGCCCCGACAATGGCTTAGCCGCCGACCGCTAGCAAAAGCCTGCAGAAAGAGGGGACCCAGACTCCCCTAAACTGATGCTCAGAGACGGGCAGAGGCCCCCGCTTCCGCCCGGGGCACTTGGCGCCACCATCTTTCCTCGCGGGCCATGCGTCCTTCCCTCCTGAGGGTCGGGGCGGCCTCAGCCCCGGAGTGCGCGCCCCGAGGGCTGCGGAATCGCCGCCGCCGCCCCCCCCCCCCCCCGGAGGGGCCGGACTCCACGGGGGCGCGCCTCACGCCGCATGCGCCCGTGCCCGGCACTGCGCGCGCCCCCGAGCCGGCAGCTCAGACTGTTACCTCCGCTGTCCTCACCTGAGGACGGCGAGTCCCGTAACCCTCGTCTGCTCGTAACCGGAGACGGTTGCGGCTGAAGCTGCTGCGAGTGCTGTTCCAGGCGAGCAGACCTTCGCGTCTTCATCTCCTCGGCTTCCTGGAGTCCCCGCTGTCTCCGTTGCCTAGATCGAAGGTTGTAAGCGCTTTCCCTCACTTCCTCTTTCGCAGATTCCGGCCGGAACTTTTCTGGCGTGGTTCGTCTTCCCCCCGGGGACCTTTCTTTGGCCACCCGGGGCTCGAAGTCGCCGTACACTTCTGGCGGCTCTTCTGAAAACCTCACTTCCCGTCGTCCGTGGCGCGACGGAGGAGTTCCGTACGCAGGTGCGTCACTGCCGTCGCCATTTTGAGAGGGTAGCCTCCGCCTTCCCTCCCGGATGGGGGCTCTCGGCGTGACGTAGACGGCCCATCCTTCTCCCAGCGCCTCGGTCCGCCACCTCTCTCCCGCCATAGTTGTTTACCTAGCTGGTTGTCGGTAGTGGAGATGGCCTTGCCGCGGTTAGATTCCCCAGCAGGTGGTGCCGGTGGCCTCGGGGAGGTTGTCGCAGTGGTCAGGGAGGCAGTTGAGAGTCGCCGGGGCCGCCGCCTGCGTCGTCGCTAGTGTGCCACAAACCAGCCTCTGGGCCCATGGTGTGTCCTAAGGGCTGTGGGAGAGGCAGTGCCCGAGCTGGGTCAGCTGCTGTGGGTCACTCCCGCCTCCTGGCTGGAGGCACCAAAGAGGAGGAGAAGGGGAGGAGGACGTCGCTCTCCTTGGCCTTGAGGGAGGGGATAAGTGGGGGCAACGAGGAGGTGGTAGGACAAGTGGCCTGTGCCAGGGTGCTGGTGGCCAGTTGCCTACCGCAGGAGGCGCTGGTCCCAGCTTCCTGAGGCTCTGGGAAAGGGTAAGTTTCAGTCCTTGATTCCCAAGCTGTTGCGCAGTTTGCCTGCTACTTTGGCCACTCCTTTTCCAGTGTCCCTGGTTGGAGTAGTGATCAGAGAGAGATTTTTGCTTGTCATCGTCTGGCGAAAGTTAGAGTTTTAAGCACCTTGTGAAGCCGCTTACCCAGTTTAAAATCTTAATTCACCTATGGGTCCTTGAAAATCATATTCAGTGATAATCATTGGGTGGGTTTCCATTTTTGAATCGTAGTCATAACAACCTTATTTCTGAACTTTGACGAGAAGTTTTCTGCTCCGGCAGCACTGTTGGGAAGACTGAATGCTGCGTTAGATGCAGTGTGAAAGGAACCAGTACCTGATTAAAGGCAGCACTGTAATTCTGAGAGCCATTCTTTTATTCTTTGATTCTGGATTTGTTATTTCTGCGTTTCGTTTAGAGTTTCTGCATTCACAGAATACGAAAACATGACCAAAACTGTGTCAGCTCTCCATGCCATATTTACATGTCTGTAATCCGGAGGTATATAACAAAATGTAGATAAACTGAAGGAAGATGAATTTACATGTAAAGTCTGAGTTACTGTTGAGAGAAAACCCTTCTACATTCAAACAAGATAGCATGTTTCCTTGGAGAACTTTCTATGATACAAATGAATAGACTCCCACTCCCACAAATACTGGGGACCGAACCTTGTCTCAAGTCTGCTAGGCAAGTGGTTCACCAATAAGCTAAACCCCTAGCTCTAAAAAAGGTAGTTACCTTTTCCAGTATTTTAAATAATGACCATAAATTGTTGCTCAAACTTACACAAATTTCCAGTTACTGCAGTTTTCACTAATAGTCCATAAATTTGCTCATCAACACAAAGAATGAGATGATTTAGAGTCAGGCAGGATATATCCTGTTGGGGTCTTTATTTAGCCCTGTTTATTATATACAAAAAAATATAGCCAAAGAAACTAGAGGAACCATAACAAAGACAGCTGCTCCCCCCCCCCAAAAGACTGTATGTGTGATGTATCTCTACTAGTTCTGGAACTTACTCTGTAGACCAGACTGGCCTCAAGCTCACAGAAAGCCACCTGCCTCTGTTCCCCAAGTGCTAGGATTAATGGTTGTGGGCCACCATACCTGGCTCTTAAAAAAAAAATCTGTTTAAGCTGGGTGCTGTGGTACATGCCTATACTGCTAGCACTCTGGGGGGCAGAAGCAGGCTGATGGCTGTGAGTTCAGGGCCAGCCTGGTCTACAAAGCGAATGCAGGACAGCATTCTTTAAAAAAGGAGGGGAAAACTGTTTAAGGAAAAATGAAAGTGATACTCATTTGTGGCAGCCTGGAAATTTTCTGAGACTTTTTCTGCAAAATGCTGAAAAGTACTGATACCTGGTAATATCTGGCTTGTGTGTTTTTCAGTAGTGCTTTCTTTGTAAAGTGGCTATTTACATGATTCACAATCATAAAAATTCTTTAATAGATATACAACAATGAAAGGATAGAAAGTTTATGGTATTAATAGTTTAAGCTCATATTATGCAGTGTGTGAGTGTGTGTGTGTGTTTAAAGAGCCTCCTTAAAACATTTACCACATCAGATGACTAAAGAAACCTAGGCACTGGCTTGTAAAACCTGATTTGAAGGCGACATTGAAAAAGAAAGTAAAGAGGTTCTATACATAATTGGTCAATCAGAGAAAATGAGAGGTTACGAGGATTATTGGATAATTGGTATGTGTTTTATTTTGTAATTAAAACTACTTATAAAGTAGTTTTATGAGTGGCTTTTTATAAAATGATAAGAATGTTGAAGTGTAGAGACAGGTAACTTCAGTATTAACAAATACTTGCTTAGGATTTTCCCTCTTGTCTAGGTTATATGAATGTGTCATCTTAACTTTGGCAGCTGCCACCCACACCTAGCAACTTCGCAAACACCAAACTTTGACTTCCTTGAGTTAAAGCCAAATTCTTGTCGAACCAGATACTCCGCTGTAGATGTTTTCTGATCTGTTTTGGGCCACCCTTGTATACTAAAAGAGGCAACATTATAGACGGTAGACACATTTCCAGTATCATAAGAGATTTTGGGGGGGCCATCAGTGTTGCCCTTGAACTTTGAGCTTTGAACAGTTTCTTTAGGAATTTGAGAGATGTAGAAGAACAGAACAAAGAGTTTTATTGAGAGAATATGCCGGATACTAGAGAAGACAGATACAATAAAAATAAAATTGAAATTGGTGACTGGTGTTAACTCAGAGTCTAGCTAACAAAGCCGTATCTAGAAGTCTCACGCTCTTCATGTTGGCTTTCTAAATTAAGCAACTTCCAAATTAAAAAGAAAATTGGGGGGGCTGGAGAGATGGCTCAGAAGTTAAGAATACTCGCTGTTCTTCCAAAGGTCCCGAGTTCAATTCCCAGCAACCACATGGTGGCTCACAACCATCTATAGTGAGAGCTAGTGTACAGGCGGAATGTTGTGTAAATAATAAATCTTAAAAAAAGAAAATTGGGTGCAGGTGTTTTACCTGCATGTGTGTACCATGTGTGCCTGGTGCCGGAGGAGGGCATTTGATCCCTTGGAGTTGGAGTTCCAGTTGTTAACCACCATGGGTGCTGAGAATCAAACCTCCATCCTCCGGAAAAACAGGCAGTGCTCTTCGGCTATTTTAAATGAAAGTATTTTATTGGGGAGGGCTTTTCAAAACAGGGTCTAATGTAGCCCAGGCAGGCCTAGAATTACCATATAGTTGGGGCTGCCCTTGAACTCCTGATTCTCTTGCTCCAACCTCCCAACTGCTAGGATTACAAATAGATGTCACCATGCCTGGCAAAACATTTAAAAATATATTTTTAAAAATCACTGAAAGAGCTTGGCTGGTGGTTGGAGAGATTGCTCAAATCTTAAAGAGTGCTTCTGTTGTCACTGTTCTTACTTTTGCCAGCACCACAAGGTGCCTTACAATAGCCTGTAACTCTGGCTCTAGGTGATCTGATGCCCTCTACTGGCCTCTGTAAGCTGCAAGAATATGGCTCACATTAACTGCGGCACACATGTTCACATACATATAAAATCTTTTAAAAAAGAGAATTAGTTTATTGTGCATAATCACTTCTTTGTTTTTGTTTTTGTAAACAGTGTTCCCCTGTGTAGCCTTGGCTCTGTAGATAAGGCTAGCCTCAAGCTCACAGAGATCCACCTGCCGCCGCCTTCCTGAGTGCTAGGATTAAAGGTGTCTATCCCTGCATAATCACTTTTCTGTTTGGGCAAGGAAATACTATGGGGGTTAAGGCCTTTGTAGCAATGGACAAAATTAATAAGGAAAGTTGCAAGTGCTGGGGGTGCAGCTCAATTGACAGTTCTTATCCTAGCATTGTATAAACCACCCCTGGTAATACAATCCTATAATCCCAGCATTTAGGAGATGGAGGCAGGAGGATCAGAAATTCAAGATCATTCTTTGCTATGTAGTAAGTTGGAGGCAGCATTGGCCTATGTGATACCTTGTTTCAAAAAAAAAAAAAATGTGGTGTCATACCTTTAATCCGCACTATGTTAGGAGTGGGAGTTGCAGAAGTAGGTAAATCTCTGAGGGTTTGATGCTATCCTGATCTACATGTTGAGTTCAGGTCTGGCAGGGATACATACTAAAACCTTGTTTAAGGAAAAAAATAAAAGCATGTTGGTGTGGTGGTACCTGCCTTTAATCTCAGTACTTGGGAGGCAGAGGCAGACAGGTCTCTTGAGTATAAGGCCAGCCTGGTCTACAGTGTGTTTCAGGACAGCCAAGGCTACATGAAGAAACCCTGTCTCCAAAAATCAAACAAAACAAAACAAAAATTCCAAAATGGACATGGTGGTAGATACTTTGAGTGCTAGCACTCGGAAGATAGGCACAGGCTGATCTCTTGAGTTCTAGGCCAAACAAGTCTACAAAGTTAGCTCTAAGCCAGCCAGAGTTACATGATGAGACCCTGTCTCTAAAAGCCAAAGTAAATAAAAAATGAAAGGAAAAGGTGAAAATACTAGAAGCAAACTGAAGGCATAGTAGCTGCCTCTACCTATTCTTACAGAAAAAAATTAAAATACTATAAAAATGAGAATATAGCTGGAGCCTGGCCTGGTGGCACAGGCCTGTTAATCCTTACACAGGAAGAAGGATACTGAGACTGAGCCTTAGAATGAGTCCCAGGTAAACCCAGTCTTAAAGTAAACCTCACAGAGATCCACCTCTGCCTTCTGAGTTCTGGGATTAAAGGTGTGTACCCCCATGCCACCAAATAATAGCTATTTTTGATTCCTAGTCTATCATTGCTCCATAGCAGACATGCTACTTAGGTGCTCACAACAACTTTAAGTGGGTATGAAGCCTTGTGCAGGTTGACACACGCGCAAACTGAGATTTAGATTACATTTGAGGACAGCCTCTAGTTAGGAAAATAGGCTGGATTAGAAGTTGTGTCTGAGTGGTGCTTGCCATTCTCTTCGGGTACTATCTCTTACTGCGCTGCTCTCGTGGGGCGTTCTAGGCTGGGAATTTCAGGTTATTTTGAGAGGCAGGGTGATCAGAGTCTTGCAGCATATTTGCAGTCACTTCAGCCTTTAGAAGCAAAAGTGGGCTGTGGCTGTTCGGCTGGCTCAGAGAGGCAAGCCCTGAAGTTTGTGAAGCCTTGTGGGAGGAGCTGGGGTAGGTGGAGCCAAGGGACTACCCGTCCCAGCATTCCGCGGAATTCTCCCTGCGGAGCTCACGTCACGTGGGCGGGACAGGCGACATTCTGCCGTGGCGGCTGGGGGTTGCAGACTAGCGCTGTGGAGCAGGAGGAACAGCAGAGTGGCGCGGCTGATCCTGACTGTCC